CTCTATGGACAAGTATTCCCCTATGTTTCCTTATGGGCAAATATTCCCTAATTATTCCTTATGGGAAAGTATTCCCCAATGATTCTCTATGGGCAAGTATTCCCCATTATTCCCTATGGACAAATATTCTCCTATGTTTCCTTATGGGCAAGTATTCCCCAATGATTCTCTATAGGCAAATATTCCTCTATGTTTCCTTATGGGCAAATATTCCCCAATGATTATCTATGGGCAAGTATTCCCCATTATTCCCTATGGGCAAATATTCCCCAATGATTCTCTATGGACAAGTATTCCCCATTATTCCCTATGGGCAAATATTCTCCTATGTTTCCTTATGGGCAAGTATTCCCCAATGATTCTCTATAGGCAAATATTCTCCTATGTTTCCTTATGGGCAAGTATTCCCCAGTGATTATCTATGGGCATGTATTCCCCATTATTCCCTATGGGCAAACATTCCCCAATTATTCTCTATGGACAAGTATTCCCCTATGTTTCCTTATGGGCAAATATTCCCCAATTATTCCTTATGGGAAAGTATTCCCTAATGATTCTCTTCTCTATGGGCAAATATTCTCCTATGTTTCCTTATGGACAAATATTCTCCAATAATTCTCTATGGACAAATATTCCCCACTGATTCTCTATGGACAAATATTCTCCAATACTTCTCTATGGGCACGTATTCCCCAATGATTCCCTATGGGCAAGTACTGTCATTAGTTTTAGTACAAAAGACAAAAACCATGTCAAACCTTACTTATTCGCCTTCCTAAACCGAGCCTGAGGAAAATACCCGCCAAAGGAATGGATTTCTGAGGTTTAAAAAGGAAAGAAAAACACCAAAAACGAGGCAAAAAGCCCCTGAGGGGGGCGGGAAAGGGCACAAAGACCCCGTTAGTTACTGCCGCGGCAAAAAAGTTCCTAATCCCGTTACTAGTAGTTGGCTCGTTACTAGTAGTTAACTACTAGTAGCTCCACGCGGTAGGGAAGGAGGAGAACCGGGGAAGGGCCAAGTGGAGAGGGAGAAGGGGACCCGGGGGGCGTTACCTGGGCCTCAGCCGGGACCCCGAAGGGAAGTGGTCGGAAGGGCGGCCTGCGAGGGGCCCGGACGCCCCTTTAAAACCGCTTCTGCCGCTTCCCTCAGCGAGAAAACCAGGCCGCCTCACTGCGCCTGCGCACAAAATTTAAAAAAAAGAAAAAGAAATACTTGAGGCGCGAGGAACGTTCCAACCGACGGTGGCCGCCGTTGCCCCCGCCGCCTCCGCCGTGTTGTTATTGCTATTGCTGCTGCGGCAGACACGTCCGAGGGACGCTCCTCCACGCATGCGCCACATCCGGGTTTTTCTCACCCTTTTTTTTTTTTCCCCTCCCTTTCTTTCTTCCTCCTCTAAAACCCAGCCCATCTTGCCATTGAATAGCGCAAAAGTGCGCATGCTCACACGGGCCGCCGTCGTGGTTGGTTGTTTTTTATGAAAGCCTCGTTGGATGGGTTTGCCCTTTAAAAAAAAAAAAAAGGAGGCGGGAGGGCGCGGCGTTGGTGTTGTTAAAAAAGTTTGCGGTTGCCGTCTTTTCCCTTTTTTTTATACGGAAGGGTGGTTTCTTTGAGGTTTCTATAGAAACGCTTTCATTTCCACACAAAAGATGCTCAAACACTAATTGATACGGTTTCTTAGAAACTTTTCTGTGCTTTATGTGATTTTCTACCATTTGAAGCAAAATTGTTTTGTATATTTTTAAAATTATTTAGTCATTAAATTCTCTGTTATTTACTTATTGTGATTATTATTATCATTGTTTCAAATTTTTGTACATTTTTAAAAATATGTTTTACTTATTTTAAAATTATTTATTCATTAAATTGCCTATTTATTTATTATGATGATTGTTTTTTATAAATTATTGTACATTTTAAAAGTTTCACTCATTTTTTAATTATTTATTCATTAAATTGACTATTTATTTATTTATTATTATTATTTAAAATTATTGTACTTACTTATTTTTAATAATTCATTAAATTGTGTATTTTTATTATTATTATTATTTCAAATTATTGTACATTTTTAATTACTTATTTTTTAATTATTCATTAAATTGTCTATTTTTTATTTATTTACTTATTGTGATTATTATTATTTTTTTCAAATTATTGTACTTTTAAAAAAATTATGTTATCTGTCAGCCGCCTTGGGTCCCTTCCTGAAATAAAGACGGCCTATATAAATTAACTGAACAATAAAATAAATATATTTTATTTTATAAATATATTTTATTTTATAAATATGCAAGCATACACATTAATTTAATAATGTAAATGTTAAAGAAATGAATAAATCCCAGTAGTTCTTTACTTAAAGGTAAGATTTGGCACTGTAGAACTGAGGATATTTTCTTTTAAAAAAAAAAAAATACAGTATTTCAGGCTACGGTTTGTTTGTTTGTTTGTTTGTTTGTTTACACAGCATCTTGTCAATCCTCTTCAGGCTCCTGTTTTGCTAACCACATCCAGTACCATTTATAAAGGAAACGGTTTGAGATGAATATAAGAAAATATGCAATACAGAGATTCCCAGAGGGACCAGCGGTGCACCTTCAGTCAAAGTAGCAGCAGCTTCATTTATATACCGCTTCATACTTCACTAAGCAGTCTCTAAGTGGTTTAAAACTGTAAGCCAGGGGTAGGCAACCTTTCCCCTTTAAGGGCCGAGGGACTTCAGCTCCCAGAAGCCTCAGCCATGTTGGCCAATAGTCCCATGTTGGCCAATAGCTCCTGGGATTCTGGGAGCTGAAGTCCCTCGGCCCTTAAAGGGGAAAGGTTGCCTACCCCTGCTGTAAGCTAATTGCCCCCAACAAGCTGGACACTCGTTTTAGCGACCTCAGAAGGATACAAGGCTGAGTCAACCCTGAAGCCCCTGGCTGGAATTGAACTCACAACTTTTCTACGTTAGATTTGGAATACACAGAAGGACACAAACTTATATGGCTATCTAAACAGTAATTCATGAAAAATACTTGACTCAAAGGCAATTTAAGAATTGCCCTAGTAAAATTAACATTAAACTTGGCACTTGATTTAAACTTTGAAGCCATCTACGATTTATGCACATGTAATGAATCAGCATAAACCTGGAAC